CTAGTGGTTAAACTTCGGCACTCTCACCGATTCAGCAGCCTGGGTTCATTTCCTGGTCACCAAACCACACCACCAGTCTGTCTCTTGCCATGCTGTGGCAGTGGCTCACATAGAAGAACTAGAAAGACTTACAACTAGAATATACAACTATGTACTGGGGCTTTGGGGAGGGGAGAAAAAGAGAGAAAGATTGGCAACAGATGTTAGCTCAGGGCGAATATCCCCCTTTCCCGGGCCCCCCCCCCCAAAAAAAGAATTGTTACCTGAAATCTCTACCGTGCTGTATAGTATGTCTTCAGGTATATTAATTTGTTTTCAGACTTCTCTCAGATGGTCCAGGAAACTGGAGAAATTCTAGTTTTTCATCTTCTAAAGATGAGAATGAAGCTGAATATTTGTCACTTAATGTGTTATCTATAATATATTTATGATGTTTACTTGTTAATGTTATTAAGAGGTTTGGAGACTTGTGATAAAGAATTGATTTGCATCATGTTTTATACAGTTTTGCATTGATGACTATGCACGATATCACCAGGTCTGAGCATATAGAGAGGGAGGAATAATTTCATTGGTCAAATATTTTCATTTTAAAACAAAATCAAATTGTTAATGTGGGGACTTTGCCCTCTTCGCTTTTACTTCATAGTTTCACACTCGTGTCTGCATATGTATCAAAGCTTTTTGACCTTAGCAGCTGCGTTGCTTTTGCCTAATATGAAGTGATTCTTAATGCCCTTTAGGAAGGCGGGGAGTCCTGCAGAGCTCCCTGTCTGGCCATATGTCCATGTGGTCTTTGTAATTCACTGTGTCATCATAGTGGTTAAGTAATGCCCTAAGGTTAGGAAGCCCGGTCAGGACAGCTGGTAATTAAGTCACTTCTCTTTGGTGCTGGAGATATAAAGCGTGCCCCAGTGAACAAGGCCATCTGTTTTCTGCTTCATTGCTTTAGATGTTCATACTCAATTTTATTTGCATTGATTTTTGCTTAGGTCTTGCTCAAGTGATCAGAGCTGGTAAAGCTAATATGTTAATACTGCAAAGGAACTGAGTGGCTTTTTTTAAAGTTGATGTGGTTCGTAATTGTATGTTCTCTGGGAATTATTAAGAATAGTATTATGATATGCTTTGTAATTCAGAAGACCATTTCTATTTCTGAAAATGCCAAGTTGAACAAGCATTTGCTTATTGTGACCAGAAACTAGAGTGTAGGTGGTTCAGTTTTGCATACAGAGTCTTTGGTGGGTTTTGTGTTAGAAGAATAGACTTATGTATGTGTAATTGATATCAGTAAACTCTGTCGCTTGCCAAACACTTTCACACTCTAGCTCCCCTCACTCCTTTCATTTTAATTACCCAGCTTTTCCATTGTGAAAAAGTATACTCTGGATCTCAGTTTTGAAGTGCCAGTCCTGTGGTCTTGCATCCTCACTGATTTAGTTAAGGAGGTATTGGTGAATTTAGATTCTTCTGCTCAAAAATAGTTTTGCCTCTGGCTTGTGTCATCACACTTTCCCAAAGTATCCTGGCTGTTAGCATTTAGAAAAATAACCAGACATATGTTGTAATCATCCTTTTTATTTAAAAAAAAAAAGATATTTCCTCCCGGTGGCACCAATTCTGGAAATAGTTGAGTTTCATGAAGAGCTGAGAAGGTAAAGATTCTATTTTTTGTAGTTCCTGTGTGATTTAGCCACCTCTAGCACTGAGGCCATAGCACATTGCTTTCAAGGGATGGTGGCCTGAGAGGTGAGGAAATGAGATGAGGGACAGGGCTGCCATGTGTGGTTATGAAGGCCGTGAGTTGTGAGTAGAGCCCTTGGTGTGAGTTGCATTGGCTTGGAGGAAGAGGTGCCCTTTTCTATTAAAAAAGGTACCACAAAGACCAGCAATGGCCCTGGTAGTGCTTGCTTAGAATATATAACTTTCTGGGTCTTAGGAATTATTTGTAATAGATAGCTGGATATAAACTCTCTCAATTTCTCTTTATTAAATGTTCTTCTTTTGCTCTTTTAATTATGAGATTTTAGTTTATTCTGACATGCTACTCATAATTTTAAAAGAGACATCATGGGGGCTGGCCCCGTGGCCGAGTGGTTAAGTTTGTGTGCTCCGCTGCAGGCAGCCCAGTGTTTTGTTGGTTCAAATCCTGGGCACGGACATGGCACTGCTCATCGAGCCACACTGAGGCAGCATCCCACATGCCACAACTAGAAGGACCCACAACGAAAAATATACAACTATGTACTGGGGGGCTTTGGGGAGAAAAAGGAAAAAAAAATAAAATCTTTTAAAAAAAAAAAGAGACATCATGGGTGATTAGTTCACTCAGAGCTGCCTACACCATCCACTAGTCCTGGAAAAAAGAAAAGTTTTGTCTGGTACGCGATAAGGGCCTTCAGCTAGAGGCGGCCATCTTACTGGTCTGCCCCTTGTGGATTTGGCTGGTCTCTGTTGAATGTGTCTTAAATAAACAAGTTTCCCTTTTGGCAATGGTGGCAGACATATGGAATGCAGAGTCTGGCAAAAGCTGTGTCAAACAGGATCCTTGAGCTACTTAGCAGCTAATGTCTACTGTCACTGTCCTGGCTGAGGAAATACCTTCCAACTGGAAAATAAGTCATCCTGCTGCCAAGGGACAAACATATTCATCATTTATTCTACTAGAAGAAGAATGGGCAGTGCTTATTGCTTTGCTGAACAAGGAACTCTTGCATCTAAATTATATTAATCATTAAAGTAGTCAAACAAAAAGTACTATAGAAGATGTTTAACTGTTGTGCTTTGAATACATTTGCAATTGAGGAAGTTATTCGTGATATGTAAATATATTCTTTAGTTCTGCCTGATGGAAAATCTAATGACTTTCAAAAGTGTTAAGTAGCTCTATTTTCTCTTAGTAACTGTGAGTGCTGATGGAAACAAGCTGTTGGGAAGTGGAATTTGGCCAATACCATTTGGTTTCTGGGGATGTTTTGTGTGGTTTTCTGGATTGGAGTTTATACAAGTTACAAATTCTTACTTTACATTACAGTAATTAGTTGTAAAAGTAGTGCTTTAGTTACTGGTGTAAGTAGTTGGTTCCTTTGGGCTAGTGTGACTATTGGACCAATAAAGTCAGTCCCAGGTACTGAGGCCCAAGCGAAGGGTTTTATTAGCACTTGTTGAGCATAGGAAGATTTTACTTGTGTAAAATATGTGCTAGAAAAGGAATCTTTTCATGTATTTTTAAATTATATATGAAGTTTTTGTCTTTCACAAGAAGCATCAGAAATCCTCGTGGTTAATGTATGTATGTTGCAAGGTGTTGAAGGGATCAGGGGAGAAATCACTGTCCTTTTTTGTTTATTTGATTTTTCCCAGTGAATCCCTGAAGGGAAAGCAGTTAGAAATAAAGGTAAAGGAAGATAAAACCTAGTAGAGAGTCTGCTGTACCCAGCCTTTGCTTTAAGGTTTTAATTAAGCCCACTGTTTCTAAGAAGGAACACTCTTTGTTTTTGAATCCTCAGGACTGGAACAGATTCCACTATTGTTTTACTTATCCCCTGAGGATGGGCCTCAAAATACAGTGAAATCTAGACAAATACCATCTCTGACCCCACTCTTTCCAAGTCCTCTGGCGTCAATGGGTGGGGTGATGTGGACCTGTCTTAAAACATGGTATAAGTAGTTATATAGGGAAAAGTCATTGAAAAAGAATATGTGAAGAGAAAGTTTTTTATTTGTGAAAAGTATGAATCCCGATGAATGTATGGGGAGGTTGGATTGAGGGAAGGGAGACTCTAAGGTCCAGACTTAAAATGTTTTGTTGATTCTGTGTGCCAAACACATTGCAAAAAGCTTTATGTGCCATATGTAATTAAAGTCTCATAACTGGGGCCAGCCCCATGGCCGAGTGGTTCAAGTTCCACGTGCTCTGCTTCAGTGGCCTGGGTTCACGGGTTTGGATCCTGGGCGTGGACCTGTACCACTCAGCAGCCCTGCTGTGGCGGTGTCCCACATACAAAATTGAGGAAGACTGGCAGAGATGTTAGCTCAGGGCTAATCTTCCTCAAGCAAGAAAAAAACGAAAAAGAGGAGGATTGGCAACAGATGTTAGTATAGGGTGAATCTTCCTCAGCAAAAAAAGGTCTCCTAACTTATTATACCCATTTAACAGAGGAAAATGAGGCTAGCCAGAGGAAACACAGTAAATTAGGAATGAGAGCTTAGGTTCGGTATTCCTTGATGATCAAGAAGGTAACCACCCTCCACATACCTCACCTGGAATGCTCCAGCTGTTGGAAAATAATTACTGAAAATGGGCAAAGGGACTCTTAAATACAGAATAAAATAACTAGTTAAGCTATCCCAGGGACTTTTAAAATAGTCTGTGTTCTGGGCTGGCCTGGTGGCGCAGCAGTTAACTTCACATATTCTACTTCGGCGGCCCAGGGTTGGCTGGTTTGGATCCCGGGTGCAGACCTATGCACCACTTGTCAAGCCATGCAGTGCAGGCATCCCACATATAAAGTAGAGGAGGATGGGCACAGATGTTAGCTCAGGGCCAGTCTTCCTCAAGCAAAAAGAGGAAGATTGGCAGCAGATGTTAGGTCAGGGCTAATCTTCCTCAAAAAAAAAAAAAGTTTGTGTTCATACAGCAGTATTGGAATAATTTTAAAGGCTATTTAGAGTTGCAATACAGTTTCCACACACCTTGTTAGTATAAATTGCTAAGTTTGGAGATAAAACCAGAAGATTTAAGGGAATTATAACACAGTCTGTTTTAAAACCACCAAATACTCACCCTAGCCTCCTTGTGTGGTGTGTGTGTGTGTGTGTGTAATTTCCTCTTGGGTTAGTGGGATAGGAGGAAGTGGCTGCTCTCAATTTGTAATTCTACATGAAAAATAGAGCTTTGGAATTTATATTGTTTTAGCAAAGAGAGTGAGTTGGGGGAAAAGGTTTTTATCAAGTTCTATGTGTATGTATATTGTTTTTCCTCCTTTGGACTGTTGTAGGATTTCCGGGATGTGGTAGCCCATGCTTCCAGGCAACTTGGGAAACCAGTGATTGAGGACCGGATCCTAAATCAGATCCTGTACTACTTGCCTCAGCTGTATGAGCTCAACCGGGATCTCCTGAAGGAACTAGAGGAAAGAATGTTGAACTGGTAAAAAATGAACTGACCACATATCCCACAGTTTTCAATTTTGGCTGAAGCCATAAGGGCCCTGCATGTGACAGAGAGGTGGTGTTCCTTTCATTGAGTTGTTTCCATATATTGAATTTTCTTGGCAGTTACCTGTAGATTGATCATTTTAGATTGCCAAAATTCACAACCTTGGTGCACTGAGCTCAATACACTTTTAAAGTCTTTGATAATCTTGTCTCAAAAGCAAGAAGGGCCCATATTCAGCCAATTTAACTTCTTATAGGTGACCTTTGATAATCAAGATTTTTGAGACTGAAGGAGTTTGGTTGATACATTCACATTGGAAGTGTTTTAAAATGTTTATCTATCTTGCCTGGAGCTTCAAGTCCTGAAAATCTCTTTGCATTTTAGAAAAGAGGCCATTCACTGAGATAATAGGATGATTGTTGTTTGGTTTAGACACTTTACATATGTATGACATCATTGTAGACACTGTTGATCTCAGAACAGGAAAAGAATACCAAAAGGTTAACTACTTCCATTGGGCTTATACAAAGTAAGCAGAAACTTTGGTGACGTCTTTGGAAATAGATAGAAAATTTGGCCTGGGGGATTGAATTTATTGTTGAAGTCCATGGGGAGCCCAAAATGATTAGAATAACAAAATAGTATCACCTACTTTCATGATAAAAATTTCCCTCTAGATTTTCTTTATCTATAATCCAGAAAAATACCTCTGGAAATATCATGCCTCTGCATGCTGGGACACATGCTAGATAATTGGTTAATACTTAGCTGCAGCCTAAGTATAAAGTAGCACAGAGTTAAGGACCAAGGAATCATCAAAAGATACTTTTTAAAGTCGTGACAGAAATAAAATGTAAATTACAAAGAATTTTCCTGTACATGCTTCATCACTTTTCTTATAAAAGATTATCTTAAAAATTAATCTGAATTGGCTTAATAAGATGTGCATATTTATGCAAGCAAGTGTTATAAAGAGGCTTAAATATAGTTTTTGTTTGTACTAAAAGTTTTCTCGAGGTTGGATCTGTACATGTTCTTAGGCATTCCTAAGAAGCAGACTGAATTGATGAAAGAGGCAGCTAAAACAACAATTATGGAAACAGCTACACTTATTACAGACATAAAAGTCCTTGGATAAGATATTTTCTGCTTATTAAAATACTTTTCTCTCAGGGGTCTTTGAGTTAAGACACATTCTTTGGTTTTAGTATGCTTTCTGAAATAACATTTATTTTTACATTGGCTTTTAATAACAATTGATGAAATATTTCACTTCTGCATCCAACAAGGTTTTGAATATTTATTGTGTGCTAGTCAGCGCTCTATGCATACTGGGAATATCACAGTGCACAAAACATACAAGGCTCTTGCTCTCATGGAGCAGACATTTTAGTGGGGGAAGAACAAAACAGATAGAGAAGAAACATTAGATAGAAGCAGTTTCTCATGTGCAGAGACATAAAATAGAATGATGTGCTAGCAAATGGAATCTGGGTGGCTGAGGAAGGCCCTCTAAGAAGGCAGAGCATTTGAACTGACGTCTGAACGAAAAGAAAGAGCCAGACTTGGTTCCATATTCCCAGGCATGTGAAGCCATTAGTAAAAGTTTGCAAATTGGGAATGAACTCTGTATGTCAAAAGAATATAAAGAAGGCCAGTGTGGTTGGCCAGTGATGAGAAAGAGGGAGAGAAGTGTGAGATGGATCAGAAAGATAGGCAGCAGTGGGACCTGTGGGGCTTTGTAAGCGAAGGTAAGGAGTTTGTTTTTCTGCTAAGTGCCATAGGAAGCCATTGGAAGTCACTTTATGTGATACACGTTTTTGGATTCTTTGGCTGCACAGAAGAATGGGATGGTGGAAGCAAGGGAGAACAGTCAGAGGGCTGGCAGGTTTCAGCCGGGATGTGATGGTGGCAATGGAAATGGGGAAGAGCAGGCATTTGGGGATGTGTCTTACAACAAGAGAAAAAAAGATAAGCTGACGGCATGGATATGGGACTCTGCTCATTGGATGTATTTTGGATATATTAATGACTCCCTTTGTATATTTTTGTGTATCTCTTCTCTATCTTTAGGACTGAACAACAAAGAATCGCTGATATCTTTGTAAAGAAGGGACCGTACCTAAAAATGTATTCCACATACATCAAAGAATTTGATAAGAATATAGCTTTGCTGGATGAACAGTGCAAGAAAAACCCGGGTTTTGCTGCTGTTGTTAGAGAATTTGAGGTATTTATGCTACCATCTAATGCTGACATTTTGTTTGTTTGTTATTAAAGCTTTAATAATTTGCAATTCTTGAAAACAAAACCTGCAAACAAAAAGATATTAAAATATAATCCCTTCAAAATCAAAGAGGGAATTGAACAAATTAAAAGGTGAGAAGTCAAATAGTGTGTACAAGATTTAATTTTGAAAATCTATCATTGCACGTTGGAATATATTGATGGCTCTCTCTTTTTTTTAAATTGAGGTAAAAAACATAAAACTTACCATCTTAATCATTTTTACATGTACACATTGTTGTGCAGTCAATCTCCAGAACTCTTCATCTTGTAGAACTGAAACTAAATCCTTTAAACAACAACTCCCCGTTCTCCCCTCCCTCAGCCCCTGGGACCACCATTCTACTTTCTGTCTCTATGAATTTGACTACTGTAGGGAACATTTCTTATTTTTAACTCAACCTTTCCTTTTATTCTTCTAACAACTAGTCTACAATAATGGATGGAACATATAATTTATTTTCCTTTAGATAAATAAATAACACAGTTTTAGTGTCAAAGTTAAGAAAAATTAATAACATGTTTGTAGCCAAAGCTTTGTGTTTTGACTCAAAGCTATCAGTGTTCAAGCCTGATTTAACTGGGAGTAAAGTGATATAACACATTATTTAAAAAAATTAGTTTTTAACTAAAATTTTTACTTAAGTCTTTTCCTCCAATTTTGGGTAAAATATGGGTTACTATATATTTTAGTATTTGTCTCTGTTTTGAAACTAAAAATATCAGTGGATTCCAGTCACTCAAAACTAGAAAAGTTTTAGAAGTGTTAAGATATTCCTGATTTCTAATTTGTACAGTAGACAAATAATTAAACCTTAAAACTGTTAGTCTTTTTTCCTCCTTCTTTTCCTCTCTGCTGATGTCTTCATGCTATTAAGAAAGGAAGTGTGAGGGCCAGCCCCGGTGGCCTAGTGGTTAAGTTCAAAATGCTCTGCTTCAACAGCCCAGGTTCAGTTCCTGGGCATGGACCTACACCATTCTGTTAGCAGCCATGCTGTGCTGGTGCCCCACATGCTAAAAAATAGAGGAAGATTGGCATGGATGTTAGCCCAGGGCAAGAAAAAAAAAGGAAGGAAGTGTGATATATAGATATGTAGATAACTATTGCAACTGATAATTGACCCAGGTTTTCATCAGTGTCAGTGAGTTCTGTTGCCTTGGCAGCAGAAGAAAACCTAAGATGGGGAAGTTCGCTAGCTGTCTCGGTTAATGATGCTTGCATGATGGGTGCTTTCTTAATGTGCATTATCATTATAATTCATAATTAGTCTGTGTATCAGGCCTTGGAGGGTCATATTTAGAGAAAAAATAAAATAGTCTTAGCAAATCTGGAAAAACTCCTCCCCACCCATCTGAGCTGTGTAAGAAGCACAGGGCCTCTTAGGATGCAGGGACATTTTCACCTGGCCTTTTTGATACCTCCTCACAATAAGTTCCTGTGCTGGAGAATGGGAGTGAGGCTCAGGAACAGGTGGAAGTGTCTATTGTACATACTAAGGAAAAGAGCTTTAAAGGGAGAATCAAATGTCCTCATGGTCAAGTCAAATTGGTTCCAGAATCAAATATTCCTATATACACTGATTTGAGCACTACCTTTTATAGCCATTCACCTGAGAAAGAGGGTTACATTCTTCGAGCTTATTGGAGAAGGGATGTTTAGCAAGGTTGCTTTTCAGGTATCTTTGATTTCTGCAGTTCTGCCCACTATCAGCTGTTGTTGTTATGAGTATGTTGATGATAGGCTCTGACTATTATTTAAATCCAGTTCCGAGTCGTTTTATTTCTGCTACCCTACTTTTGGGGCCGTGGATTTCCTTCTTGGATCTTGGGTTTGTTTGTGTTTATGAATACGCTGGCCCACACTCTGTTAAGTGGCAGCTGCTGAGTAGGGTAGGCTCGAATTGGCCTAGAATGCAGACTGCAGCCACACTGTCTGTGAGAGGGCAGTGAACAAGGTTTCCCAATGAGTCAGTGATTTCAGAGATCTGCTACAGGAGAGGGAGGCTAGGTGGTAAAGCAGCTGTGTTTTCACTCTCAGTGTAACAGCTCTGCCTTAAAATAAAGGGAGGTTCTCCATGAATCCCCTTCCAGAGTGGCTGACTAAAGGTTGGCTTCCAGGGCGCTTGAATCTGGGTCCCTTGCTTCTTAGAAAAACACTCGTGTTTACTTTGGATGTCTTGTTCTTTCAGATGAGCCCACGCTGTGCTAATCTGGCCCTCAAGCACTACCTGCTCAAGCCGGTTCAGAGGATCCCCCAGTATAGGCTGCTGCTGACAGGTGGGCTTCCCTGGCAGTTCACCAACCAACCAACTCATGTTGCCATTATGACACTCTGCCTTTCCTAAGAATACCTCTCTTTTTCTGTCATTCCAGTAACCCCTTTACCTCATATATGGATTTATAGTTCCTTATAACCTCATGTATACATTGCCTGAACTGAACTTCTTTCAGTCTGTTCATCCCTGTGTGCATTCTCTGCTCTGGGCATTCATACATGTTAATTCCTTTTGCTCAGAACTAATTTTACCATCCTAACCCCAGAACCCTGCATTGTTCTACCAGATTAATATTAATCCCAAGAATTAATATTATCAATCAAACTCAAGAATGAGGTTTAGAGGGTCACTGCCATATATTTGTCTGTCAACTGTTATGGTCCTAGTCACTTTCTTTGAAGGGTTGTTAAAAGGATTGATTAATGAGCTATGTGCTTAGAATAGTCCTTTGGTCACAGTAAGTTCTAAATAAGTATTAGCTGCTATTAGTAGTAACAGCAATATCCTCGTCCTCCTCCTCCTCCTCCTCCTCATCATCATCACCATTATTATGTCTGGTCATTGTCTGTCTATATCTCCTTCTAGATTGTGAGCTTCAAGATTACAGGGCCCTGTCTATTTAGTTTACCACTGTAATAGTAAAAAAAGAAGAAAAGAAAGAAAAAAAAATGCTGTGATTTGAGTGAAGGCACACACTGTTCTCAGGACTTTATATTCATTGACTCTTTAAATCTTCACCATAGCCATGCATAGATCACATTATTATTATTATTATTATTATTATTATTATTTATTATTCATTTTTTTTTTGAGGAAGATCAGCCCTGAGCTAACATCTGCTGCCAATCCTCCTCTTTTTGCTGAGGAAGCCTGGCCCTGAGCTAACATCCATGCCCATCTTCCTCCACTTTATATGTGGGACACCTACCACAGCATGGCGTGCCAAGCGGTGCCATATCCGCACCCAGGATCCCAACCGGAGAACCACGGGCTGCCAAAGCAGAACGTGCGCACTTAACTGCTGTGCCACCAGGCCGGCCCACAATGTTATTTACTTAGATGAAATGACAGGCTTATAGAGATTAAGTGGTTTGGCATCTCAAAAAGCTAGTATAGTCTCAATACCAAGCATAATATCCAGCACATACTACTGGTCCTTTGGAGTATTTGCTGAAATGTGTTGGCTGTGTAGTGACTTAATACAGATATATTATGTGCAGTAAGTATTGTGTCAAAATGGACAAGAGCATCGAAATTCCACCCCAGCTCTAAATTCAATCGGTTGTAATTTTATGTGAACAGATGTTGAGGGACTTGGTTCCTATTAGTGTTCTTAAGAAATGGCGTGCATGCTTTTTATCCTTAACTTAATCACTTTCTCGTAAGTCAGGAGCTATGTTGAATGAAGTAGGTGAATACTGGAAAGCCAGGATTTCCCGATTTCCCTTTCGGTGAAGGCTCCATGCCTTCTAAGCTTGCCTAGTGAAAGACAAGCTGCTGCTGAGGAAGGCCTGCCTTTCAGCCCCAGGATGGCTACCCTAGATGTTTCTACTTGATTTGAATTTCTAACTGTGAATCTGGCACTAGATTTCTCTCTGGAATGACATAAGGCAAACCAAATAGTTTGAGGATATCCTGTCCATCTGTACTTTCTTCCCTCGGCTTTTGGCAGAGATTTAGAATACACAGGACAAAAGGAAGTACCCATGGATGTGTTGTGTTTTTGCTAGATAAATTCAGTGCTGTATCATAAATGAGCTATTGAATGACTTAGGCTGTTTCTACAGCTGTCGAATGAAGTACTGTTTTTAGTGGCAAAAGACGACTATGGTTTCAAATGCGAGAATGATGGAGCAAGTTTCTGAAATTTTCATGTAAAAAAATTTTTTCCCCACACTGTGCCTGATCTAAGTAAAAAATTTATACACGTTTAATTTAGGTTTCACACTGAGTTTGGTTTTAATTGATTAATAGTGAAATAGCAAAAGCATGTTTTAAAAATTCTCCTTAACAGAACAGATTGCATTTGTTTTATAACCAACATAATATGAACATGGGGTTATTTTTAGTTTTGAGCTGTCTCTTGTTTAATTTTAAAGCCATTTGCTCCCTTTCTTGAATTGGAAAATCTTCTCTATTATTTAAATGATGCACAATACCTTATATATATTAAACCCTCAGGAATTGTGGATTCATTGAAGGGCAAAAGTGGTAAATGGCTTGTTCAAGGTCACAAAGTGAGGACTAAAATTAAAGAAAGAACATAGGCCTTATAAGGAAATAATAGACTTCATATTCTTGTCTGTGCATCTTCTTCCATTGATTCAAATTCTTTTCTTCCTCTAAACCTGATCTGAAGTCCTCCATTCCCTTTGAAGCCATCTCTGATTACTCCTTGACCCTTAGTATCAGTGCAATGTGACTTAGTAAATATTTATTTAATGCCTTGTGAATCTGCTAATATTTGTATGACTTGAATATTGATTTCTTTCTTTTTTTTTTTTTATTTGAAGAGTGGCTCTGAGCTAACATCTGTAGCTAATCCTCCTCTTTTTTTTTTTTTTTTTAAGATTTTATTTTTCTCCTTTTTCTCCCCAAAGCCCCCCGGTACATAGTTGTATATTTCGTTGTGGGTCCTTCTAGTTGTGGCATGTGGGACGCTGCCTCAGCGTGGTCTGATGAGCAGTGCCATGTCCGCGCCCAGGATTCAAACCAATGAAACACTGGGCCACCTGCAGCGGAGCACGTGAACTTAACCACTTGGCCACGGGGCCAGCCCCTTGAATATTGATTTCTTAATTTGATTATCAACTCTTTGAGGTCAAGGAGTGAGTCTTGTACTAGTAATTTAGCGCACCCTAATAATCTGGGTCAGTGTTGGATCCCTTGGTTCCAAGCTAGGTTTAAAACATCCCGTTAACCAAAATACCTTTTCCCTAGAGGACAAAATGAGATAGAGAATTTCAGAGATGGTCTCTTCTCCTAAATGAAAGACACATCCAGAGAAGTGAAATGTCCTCCCTGAGGCAACACAAATATTATTAGCTGAAGCACCTGTGATCATATAATCCTAAGGATATATAGGGGTTAATACTAAGGTTTGTCTTAAGTTTTCATCTATTCAAACATGATAATTAACTGGCTCCTCATCTTTGGAGAAACAAGATCAATGATTTAATCCTCCAGACGACTTTGTGAGGCTAGTATTTGATTTCCGTTTTAGAATTTGGAGTAACTCCAAGTGCACACAATAAACAGGAGCACAGAGGAGGAGTGAGACTATAGGGGGCAACTCGTGACAACTTTGATTTATTGAGTTTCAGGCAGAGAAAGGGAAGGATTCCTGCCTGATGGTGTAAGTAGATCTGTGCCGCCTTCCTTACTTGGGAGGAGAAGATTGAGAAATGCAGAGATGAAGTGCAGATAAGACAGGATAGTTTCTTTTGGAATCCTCTGACAGAAAGGTGTGTGGAAATCCCCAGATACAGCAGTCCTGCCCTTACTATTCAAACAATCATCTTATTGTCTTGTGTGTTTTCTTCAGGACATAATTTGAGTTTCTGCTGGGTATTTTACTTAGGCTGTCACTTCCTTCATTGTAGTAAAAAACTTCCAACTAAATTCTTGGTAGTATTTTTTTTTAAGCTCAACTCAAAATAGGATCAAAGAAAATGCGTGTTATGTAATGAAATGCTTAAGATCAGAATTTTTTTAAAAAATAGTAAAATTAAGTAAGTGATTTACTTAATTTAAGAAGCAAAAGTGTAAATTTTACCTTTACATCACCTATTCTCAAGGCCAGTGGGTCTAGCCAGATCTTTAAATCTGTGTGGGGCCCGAACCTGTTTAGAGTTAGGAGAAATGGGAATCTTGAAGCAGTAATGAGGAAGTGAAGAAAGAAAACAGACACTGCTATAGGAGCCGCATTAATTTTTTACCACTGCTTATTTCCTTCCTCATGTCTTCAGGATACAAACTGTCCTTATTATCCTAACTCAGTGTCTGGCATAGATTCTGGCAAATAACAGGGACTTATGTGCACATAACTGGCACATAACCTAAACTGAAAGTCTAGGGAAATAAACCTTGTTCCTTTTTATAAGGTTGAGAATCCCTGTGTATGCCGTGGTGCCAATGAATATTTCATGGATGGAAGAATCAATAAATTGCTTTTAAGAGTAAGAACATTCTTCCAGTTACCAAGGCACAAAATTGTGGGAAGGATTCTGACATACCTCCCTTTCCTTGCCTTGCCTCCCTCGTAAGATCTGCTGACCAATTTTCCTCTGCTTCTGCTTCCTGTTCTTTCCATTTCCCTTGTTGTGCTCCAGGCCAGGCCTTTCTAAACTCATGCCAAATTGTGGCAGTATCTTCCTACTGGTCATGCTGCCTCTTATCACTCCCCATGTAGCCTGGCACACCATAACTTAATTTCTCTTCCAAGGACACCACAAAGGAAAAACACACTCCTCCTGTGTCTTCCCTTTGCTCTCACACTACTACTGATGCGGGGTCGGAGAGCCGAGGAGTCGAAAGAAAGATTTCTTGGACTCTCAAGGTCTGGCAGTAGTGCTCTTTTATTTAGAGAATAGTGTGGAATAGCATGGGGACAGGACCCATGGGCAGTCAGAGCTGCTGCGTGGGGACAGGGCCCACGGGTAGGAGGAGGTGCTGCTGCCACCACTTCTGCTGCTGCCGCTGGCATGGGGACAGGACCCATGGGCAGGCAGAGCTGCTGCTGGCATGTTGCTGCTGCCGCTTCTGCTGCAAACATGAGTGGAGAGTAAGGCTAATTTTAAGGCATAGGTATGTGAGCCATCTCTTTACAAGACAAAGGAAAGAACATGTAAAAAAGTTAAAATGGTATCAGTGCAGGTGGGGTCTGGTTGTTGGGTGATCCCATGACTTTTAGATAAGAATCAAATTGGATTAAGTAAAGGTCAGAAGCCACCACCCTAAATCAGTTACATGAGATTGCCAGACAGTAACCAACTTAAGTTC